CTGACTCCATTAATTGTGTTAAATGAAAATTTAAAAGCCTCACTGTACATTCTGTTTAAACTTTTCCACCCATTCCTTTGGCAGTTATAGCTAGCTTGCACTGTTATTTTAATAGGTCTCTTGGCTCCAAGACATGTGATAGTCTACTTACATTAACATCATGTACACCCATGTTTGCAGATTGAGTTGTTTTGTTTTGTAAAGCATTAAAGCCCCTTTAAAAACCACAATCTTTATTTTATTATTTACTGTTCTCTTATTACCTTCCAACGAACCAAAGTGTCTTTCATTTCTCAGAAACCACAAACACACCCATTTTTATTTGATAATTTCAACAAGTCTGAGTAACAAGAGATTCTGGAGGCGTTTTTAAAAAAAAAGTTTTAATTGCCCTTATTTCAATAAAAGCTACAAATTGAAACACAAAGGGCCGCAATGCTGCAGGTGACTTTGTTCAATGCGAATCTGATTCAATAGCAATCACACAAAGACCAGTCAAGCAGACCCTACAATGATAGCATTCCTTTTACCACCCTCAAGCAGTTAAACAACAATTTAGTTTGAACAAATGACAATTTGTTTTGTTCATCCAGCTATAGCGCACATAGAAGTTTTGGAAAAAAAATGGCAAAATAAAACCAGAGTAAATGCAATACACTGACCAGTTTATGAGGCTCCAAGTGGCAGTATTTTCAGGTCAGAATTATTTGGCAGTGGATAAACATAAAAATATAAAAACTGGATATAAAAACTCATGCATCACTAGTACATCAAGATTGAGTTTATTAACTGGCTGACTTTGGAGGTCTTCATCCCACATGCACAAAAATTAAATCCAACTATGACGAAAGATATTCAATTCAGCAAAACAACTAAACTCAGTTGGGGGAAATAAGGGCCATTGAGCACACAGTGATTTGAGCTGAAATCTGCCAGGTTCAATCAAAAGCACTGCTACAATTTACCAGAGCTTTTCTGAGCTGCAAAGCACTGATCTATCCATGTGTTCTAAGAAAACAGGCAGATATCTTTCTAAAATAAAAGATGATACACACATATAGAGCTATGTTCTACTTACAGCACCTTAACACAATATGTTGTCCGTATATGAATATTTTTACAACTAGTTATGGACCTCAATTTTGCACAGTTAGTAAGTTATGATTAATCAACATTATAAACTAATTTTTCACTGTACTTTTCATTTTCATTTTATAATTTTCTATTAAACTATATACAATGTAATGCAGGCATTTATCATTACAATGCAAAAGTCTTTTTCCCAGAGTAGCGGAGTCCAAAATAAGACGGCATAGGTTTAAGCTGAGAGGGGAGAGATTTAAAAGGGACCTAAGGAGAAATGTTTTCATGCAGAGAGTGGTGTGTATGTAATGAGCTGTCACAGGAAGTGGTGGAGGCAGGTACAATTACAACATTTAAAAGGCATCTGGATGGGTATATGAATAGGAAGGGTTTAGAGGGATGTGGGCCAAATGCTGGCAAATGGGACTAGATTAATTTAGGATATCTAGTTGTCATGGATGAGTTGGACTAAAGGGTCTGTTTCCGTGCTGTACAACTCTATGCCGATGACGCAACTACACATTGTACATCATAGCATACTATGCAGCATCGCACATCTTAATATATGCCTTTGCAGCAAATAAAAATATTTTTAACATAGGTTCTCACAGCATTATTTTTAACTACAAATTTGTCCAACTTTATTTTTAAAAAGTAAAATAAAACTATATCACTGTGTATCTTTGAAGAAGTGGACCAGTTTACTTGTTGGCTATTAAATCAGATAATTCTTCTGCAAACTCACAACTAATCTTCAATCTCCACCATACTTTAAATGCTAGTTCATAAAGCAAGTGCCTTCCCATGTCACATATTGAAAAACATTTTTTACAATCTTTTGTTACTTCGCATGTCTGTGTTTAATGCATAAAAATAGGTTTTTAATCCAAAATGTTGCAAGTCAGAAGTGGAGCCCATCTTATTACATATTTTCTTCAGGGAAAATGATTTTTGTTTAATGAGTTTTCATTTGGAACTATGTTTTTAAGGAATGTTTAAATGTGGGATAGCTGTGTACACACACACACACAGTCAAAAAAAAACCTACACGAAAAAATGGGCAAGGTTATAGTGCCAATAGACAAGGGTAAGATGACTTCATCTTGTGCTATCATTTTCCATTTTATAAAGCACCCCTCCTAGTCTTGCTGTGATGTGGGCATACCAGCTCACGCACACTTTCATAGTTGTCCTACAAACTGCATATTCCATCATATATTTCTAATCGTATATTTCTAATCATTTAAAGTTTTCAGAGTATTCACTGCACTTCAGGCATTACAAGAAAGCATCCAAGTAGGCTTTTTCTCTAATTCAAGAAAGAACAGTGAGAATATTCCAACCAACAAACTTTATTCAGCAAAAGAACAATCAATCATAAACTGCATTAATTTGCAGCAAATATATATATTTGATCTTTCAGGAATAGTGAAATTTAAACACTGTTCTACCACAGCAATAGAATAATAAATACATTGTGCATTGCACAGCAAAATAATCGTGTGATTACTGAGTCATTGAGTGTATTTAGATATGTTTTTGATTAGTAAGGAAATCAAGGGTTACAGGGAGAAGGCAGGAGAATACGGTTGAGAAACATAGCAGCCATGATCAAATGGCGGAGTAGACTCAATGGGCCGAATGGCCTAATTCTGTTCCTATATTTTACAGTCTAACTTAGCACATGGCAACATAAGCAATATCGTAAGAGAAATGCTTGTAGCATTTACCCAATTACAATTGGACAAGCCAACTTTAACGGCAACTTATTTTGCTTGGTAGTATTCTCACCTCTAGGTTTAACTCAATGGATCTTGAGCACCCAGCTGAGATGAACAGCCCGAAATACAGAATCTGAGAAAATACTGCATTGTCAAAGCTAGTTTCCCTGAGACTCTAGAAGCTGTCCATTTTCACAGATGAGTAATAACGATTGTATGGCACTGAAGGAGCAACAGGAAACTGTTCTGATCCATATTCCACTCAGTCCCCCCCCCCCCCCCCCGCCCCCCCCCCACCCAAACAATACCACGAAAAACAGACTAATTGGTCTTTAATTTGTTTGTAGGATCTTGTATTGCACCAAATAGCTGCTGTATCTGTCTAAAAAATCAACAATCATTGCACTCCAAAGTCAACAGTACTGTTTGCCTGTGGACAGCCTGTACAAAAGGTCCAGTACACTGGGCCTGGTGCCCCTCCACTTTACAAGATAATGGTACTAAATACTATCTATTTAATCTGGTGTCGAATCTACATCAGCACATGAAAGTGTAAATAATTCTCTGGGAGGGTCTCCATCCAGAGCATTAACTTATTTCTGCAGACGCTGACTAAACCATTTCTTTCAAGTTCTAGCATTCAACTTAACTGCAAAAGTGCTGTTTTAATGAAACCTTTCTTTTAAGTGCTCTGTAAAAAAAAAGGAGGGGACAGGAGAAAATAAAAGGCAAGGAGAGAAGTTAGGGGCCGTATCCTAATCTCAATTCTCCCTATTGTTTCAAAATTAAATCTGCTTCCTTGTTATGGGCTGTTAATGAAGTGAATTATTAATTGAAGGGCGAGGAGGAGTCAAGGGAGCTGTACTCTGCCAACTCAGCCCCTGCATCCTTCTAGCATCAAGCCAGGATGTGTGCAGCAGGTTCCAATTTGGATGCATTACATCTGCATTTTAGACACAACTTAATGGTAGCTCTTGTAGGCATGTTGATCTGTAAGCCCACCAGGAACAAAATCAGTCACAAGATAATGGTACTAAATACTACCCGTTTAATCTGGTGTCAAATCTACATCAGCACATGAAAGTGTAAATAATTCTCTGGAAGGGAGATCAGTTCTTCCACTGATCAAGAAGCCAAGAATCAGATCAGGGCCTCATGCATCAGCCCATTCTTGCCCACCAAAACCTGTTCAAAGTAACTCATTGCACATGAAACATTTCAAGATGCTGCTGGAGTATGTAAGAAAGGATTACACAAATGGAAATGCCTCTGCTCATTATTTTCACACTGCCCTGCACCGTAGATTTTGACCTTTCACCTAGGTCAAATTAAAAAAAAACAGAATTCATAGAATAGTTATTTACTCAAGGCACATGGACATTAAAAAAACATAATTATCAGTTAAAGACTCCTGAATGGCATTACTCAGGCTCATCTGCATGGCCACAGCTGTTCATTTTACACATCCTGATGTTAGTAAATGCAGTTGCTCCTGCAAATTTGATTGACAAAAGAGCTCAGCTTGTCTGAGATAAATGCACTTTTTTTTCCCAATCCATTACAAACATTTCAATTAGAAACTTTAAAACGTTGTTAATGAATTGCTCATGATGATCCTTGCTGGTGAGGTATCATAGCCGCTGCTGCTATTCAGCAGTAGACATTTCTCTCAGAGTGAAGATCCCTCTTCTGATAATGTTTGCCAAATTACACTCCAATATAGAGTGGCAGCCACAAACCACCAGGCTGAAATGACCAAATCGATCTTATAGCAGACTCCAAGAGGCAACAGGCAATCAAGATGTTCAAGATCAGATGGGCTTGAACCCAAGGAGAAAGTAAATTGTGGAAACAATTTAAGAGGGCCAGTCAAGTTTAAATACAAATAAAAGCAGAATGCTGCAGATGCTGGAAATTGGAAATAAAATCGGAAAATGCATCTGTGGAGAGAGAAACAAAGGTAACGCTTTGAAACCAAAGACTCTTCTTTAGACTGTGGAACAGTTACATAGAAGAGTCTTTGGACTCGAATCATTAATTCTGTTTCTTCTCCACAGATGGTGCCAGACTTGCCAGGTTTCTCCAGCACTTTCTGTTTTTGTTCTAAATATTTACGTTTGTGCCATCTTGACTAGAGAAAACAGAATCATCTTAAAACAAATTGAAATGTGCTGCAGTGCAGGAATACAGTCCTACCTTAGCTTCATCATTGATGTCCCATGTAAAAGAGATGGCGTTGTAAGCGATTTCTTCAATGTTACTAATTGTGTTGAAACTTTCTTTGTAATCAGCTGCAGGGAAACAGTAATAAGGGGCTGATCATTTTAAATAAAAATTAGTTTTACCAAGCCTATCTAAACTTGAGCTGCAAAAACAGAAGCAGTCACCCACGACAGCACAACCCCAAGACAGAAACTCAAATATAGATCAGGGCTTCCCAAACCGTAGGTCATGACCTCTAATTGGGATTTTGTGGCCATTGCCTTTGACACCATAAAGCATGGACCAATCCCTGATAGCTGTGTGGCCCCTTTAAAAAACTCACATATGCATTCTACTGGAGGGCGACTGCTCAGTGACATCTGATTCCTACTAGGTGAAAACGTAGGTGTTCATTCCATCTGTCTTCCCATCAACAAGGGAGATGAGCTGAAGGGAGTGTCAGGGGAGAGGCAGTGATGTAATGGCAATGTCCCTGGACTAGTAATCCAGAAGTCTGGGGAGGCCAGGGTTCAAATCTCTTTATAGCAGATAGTGAATGTAAATTCAGTAATATCTGGGATTGAAAGCTGGCCCAATAGCAACCCTGTAACCACTGACCATTGCCAAAAATATAGGACTTGAGGGGAACAGAATCAATAATTAAAATGCAGCTCCCCAGTCTTTTTCACTTTCAGAAGCTGGATGTGCACAAATACATAAAAAAAGTTTCTTACTACTTACTGAAGAAGGGTCACTTGACTCAAAACATTAACTCTGATTTCTCTCTATAGATGCTGCTAGACCTGCTCAGCTTTTTGAGCAATTTCTGTTTTCTTTCCTTACTACTTACCTGACTATGCATTTCTTTTGGACATACAGAATACAAAAGTAAAGATGGGGTATATAGAATGTTAAGTTGACGCTTCGGGTCAGGACCCTTCATTTTCTGAAGAAGGGTCCCGACCCGAAACGTCACTTTCCTGCTCCTCTGATGCTGCCTGGCCTGCTGTGTTCCTCCAGTTCCACACTATTGTTGTCTCTGACTCCTGTATCTGCAGTTCTATACATTCTGTATAGAAATTAACATCTCTATACAGAATGTTAATTTGTCTGGTTCACCCTTGTGTAATATTTTACATTACACTGAGCCCATTTGATTTACATACTGATCTTATTGCTTCATGTAGTCCCCTAGTATTGGTGCACTCTGGCAGTTGGACTGGTAGCAGTCTTCTCTCTGCATTACCCATTACAAATTGTCCTTGAGAATTTTACAAACCGAGGGCCTATCTATTCCAAGGTTTTGGTTTCCTAGGAGTTTGGGAGAACTAGGGGCAAGGAGGCGTTAACTGTCTAAATGAGACATTACCTGTTGTCAAGGGAAGTTCCTTGTCTGTGTTGCTTGTTTTGCAAGCACTCTAGAGAGGTGCTCCCCTCACAAACTGGCAACTTGTATTTAAGAAGTTGAGATCATTTACTCTGAATACTGGTGCTCAGAACCTATGCTAATTGGAATCCTTCTTTATTTTTTACTGTAATTCCTTTGCCAAGGCTCTCAGAAAGATAAAGAAAAAGAGTTCTCTTGTGTTTACTTTTGCCTTCAACTGTAAAGGTCTGTTGAGAAATCAATCTATGGTTTCACATGAGAAACTGCTAAAAAAAATCCATTCAGCCAGACTCATCAGTTTGGAAATGTAATAATAGTCATTGACGTCTTGCATAACAACCAACCATGTCTATCCTATAATTATCAAAGCTTTGCAACTGGTTTTAGATTACAAGATAAAACTGCCACTTAACAGTTTAAGTGGAGGAAAGAAAGGAATTTGCATATATTGCTCAGTCCTTTGAATATATGAGTTGGCACGTTATGTTGACTTGTACAGGATGTTGGCAGGCACCTTCTGGAGTACTGTGTCCAGTTCTGTCTACCCTCTTTTGGGAGGATATTATTAAACTGGAGAGGGTTCAGAAGAGATTTACCAGGATTTTGCCAGGAATGGAGGGTTTGAGTTATAAGGAGAGTCTGGAAAGGCTGGGACTTTTTTCACTGGGGTGTAGGAGGTTGAGGAGGTTGAGGTTTATAAAATCATGAGGGGTATAGATAAGGTGAATGGCAGGTGTCTTTTCCTGAGGGTAGGAAATTTCAAGACTAGGGGGCATACTTTAAGTGAGAGGAGAAAGATTTAAAAAAGACATGAGGGGCAATTTTTTTACCCAGAGTGGATCATGTGTGGAATGAACTTGCAGAGGCAGGTGCAGTTACAACGTTTAAATGACATTTGGATAAGTACATGAAAAAAAATTCTGGGGCGAAATGTGCCAAGCGCAGCAGATAAAACTAATTTATTTTGGGATTATGGTTGGCGTTGACTGGTTGGATTGAAGGGTCTGTTTCTGTGTTGTATGACTTTATATGTCTGCTTACATCAAATTTCCTTGTTAATATGACTAGACAAACTCCTTGAAATTTTGGCTATGAAGGATCATCAAGTCAAGCCTCCAGAATTAAATTCAACCTCAGCATAACGCTGGATTACTGAAAGTTGTAGCCAGATAAGTACCTACATTAACCTGTGGAAAAAGAACCCAATCCAAGAAAATTGTGTGTACACTCAGGCTAAAGAATTCAGAACATCTACTGAAATAATCAGATTCTTTCATCTGAGCTTTCGCCAATGATCGTTAGTAATGCCTTAGCAAAATGTTCCCTTTACAATTTAAGGCCAATGGAAAAGGTATGCACACTTGAGTCCACCCAAATAAAAACACAACCAAAGCCACCAGACGACACACTGAACTGCAACCTGATACTATTGCCACTCCCCTCAATTAAACCTCAGAGTCATGTACACCTAGACCATAATGAGCAGTTTGCTCATGATAACACTACCATCCACACTGCATCTTGTAGCTCAGAGGCATAACAAGGTGACATTACAAGACAATCCACTTCCAAATTCAAAGTCAGGTTTACCTCAATCCTCCAAACATGAATGATACAACAGTTTGAATGAAGCTACTTTCAATTAAGAGATGGACTTGCAATAGAAAGAGAACAATTGCAAAGAGAAAATTATCAGCTGTAATATAGAATGGTCAAGATATGTAGAGTGTGGAGGTGATGTAAAAGTTGTAAAGAGAGCATTGTGAGCAACATGGACCTTTGGGCTGGTTGATGCCCCAATACAGGTAGGTCAGTGTCTCATGGGCCAAGTCATAGACTTTCTTTAAATCTTAGTCCTCTGTCAAAATTAAGATCCCAAATCTGAAGTTAAACCAGAAAGAAAATTGAAATTCTGATCAACTTGTATATATATCTGGATCAGAGTTGCACTTGTGTGATTCTGATCTCATGAGTTGAAGCAAGCTGTGACTTGGCAAACTCTTTGCAATTTTTCCTTTTGATTAGTGACCCTCAATAAGCAGTGCAAGTGTCTGGAAGGGAATGCGCTAACTGCTAACTGTTGGCATGGTGTCCGTCAGGTTAAACCACCACCAGTTGTCTAATGTGAGAGCAGCCCTATGTGTGGAGGAGGAGAATGGAGGAAGTGGAAGATTGGCAGCACTGAACAACCAGCAGAAGTTCTGAGATGGCAGTAGTTGATGGGATTGCTTTAAGAAGACTTCGTTCATCCAACCAAACCAATAGGATAAGGGTGGCCTGTCTTAAAATATCGGAGGAAATTGTACTTCTCAAGACAGGTTGGCTTTGATCTTTGCAACCTTCTACAGAGAGATGTTTCCTGGAGTACCAAAGGACTATGCCTTGCCAATCACTGCAGTGGTGACAGGTACCCTGAAGTTCCTTGCTTTAGGATAGTTCTAGGGTTCTGTTGTGGACGTCTAACATACCTCACAGTCAGGCAACGCAAACACAACAAGGAGGTGACCAACAGCTCATTTCTAGGGTAGACCAATGCACATCATTTCCTATTGATGACCACTGTCAAAGTGAGGCACCTAGTCTACAAGGGATAATTTGGTAAAATGTTATAGCAACCTGTCCAAATAAACATTTACTTCCTTAAACAAAGCCCTTTTATATCTGACAGCAAGAAGTTGCTTGTTCCATACCAATGTCAATGCAGCGCTGTTTCGCAGTGTGCTGCCGGGAGTGCCAGTATTTCCAGTGCCTAAGTTGCTCATCACGGATTTTATCATCACCAAAAACAACCATTATCACACTCTGAAAATAGAAGAAAATTCAGAATTTTACAATAACAAAGCAGGAGTTTTTACTAGGACCATATGGCATACAAAGAAAAGGATCTGTAAAGTATTCACTTCATGCAATCAAAAGTCTGGTAGATTTTACCTTTGAATGATAGTGTGGCCAGTTTTAAAAAAGTAGCAGTTTGTCTAACATCTCTTCAGAAGGTAACGGATTTAAAAAATACTGGGACATGACAAATAAACTTCAAGCTCACTATCAATTATTTTCCGCAACCACAAAGTTAGAATTTACCCCACTTAATAAGAGATTAAGGCTTTAATAAGTAGGAATGCTTTTCACAACATGTATACTTTTTTTGTGGACTACATAAAAACAATTTTTATTTTAGAAATATTTTGAAAGATTGAAAATGGTAGTACGGCACTTGTACTTAGAGCAATTACATATAATGACAATAAAATAAAGTTGACATTCACATCAACACTTACTCTGACTTTGCTGACTGGATGATGGATTTCTTCATTGGAACCCACTTCTTTGAGTGTGATGGGATAAAACTGACCCTTATTCAAATAAGTCATGGTTCCATCACCTGTCTTCTGTTTAAGTGATTTGGAAGCTTCCAAAACATATTCAAATGTACTTCTGTAAAATAGTAAATAAAAAATGAACCATATGTTATTCTGACTGCACCAAAAATGGTATATTAATATTCAATGTCTATCATCTAATTTTAATGCTCAAGGCTTTTACAGACTAAAGTGACATTTTTAAAAGGCAAATGTGGACCTAAAATAACTGCTGTGATCACCGGACCACAGGTTGAGGCGAGCTTTGTGAAACAAATGAGGGCTGTACAAAAACTGCACTGAAATTATCATTTCATCCAAAGACAGTGAAACCAGATAACTATATCTAGAAGCATCAAGAAGCTTGCATCATGTTTGATTCGCACTTGTATGTTAATTTGACACATCAGGAGATAATTGGCTTGTCTGCTGTTACCCAGTTTTGAAAAACAAATGAGCAGACTCAGAGCATACAAATGAATCCATATTAACAGCTGCTTCTGGAAAGCAAAACAGAGGTCAGGAAACATCAATTTGTGAACGAGAACTGGAAGACACTCTCTCTGTCTGTCCCTCCCTTGTCACTCTCAGCAAGAGTCAGTGCCTGGTGAAACTTCAAACAACAACCATTCACTGAGAATTCAAGTGAATTGAATTTGAATTTGAATTTGAATTCAATGGGCTTGTGTGCTGTAGACTCTTGGCTAATTCTGTGCCAGGGAAGAAACATCAGGCTCTCACTGGAGCACAGTATTTACTGTCAACAGTCCTGAGACAGGGAGGGGTAATTTGGCCAGGCCTTCCACTTCTGAAAGCTCTGCAGTGAAGGTTCACTTGGATATGGAGCAATGGGGATGCAGTGTGGGCCGTAGTACATCCTACTATTGAACAACCTCTCACCAGCCTCTCTCTGGGCTCACACACCAAGATTATCAATGGACTAAGAGATACCAGATAGTGACGAGCACCCGAGAAACAATATCCCAGGAAAAGGTTAACGATTTGAGAAAAGGAGGGGAGAATTGCGGAGGTGGGTGTGGAATTGTTGGGAAAAATTAATTTATAAATATTTTTTTCCCAGTAAACCTGCCGTAAGGTGGGCAATCAGATAGATCAATTCTCCCACAAGCCGTGAAAGATAGTAAACCATGTTTCCTGTTGTGGCTGAATCAAGAACCAGAGGCCACTGTTTAAAAATTAGGAGTTACACTTTTAGGACTGAGATGAATCAAAAGCTTTTCTCTTGGAGTGCTGCGTGACCTTGGAACACTGGCTCGGAAGGCAGTGGAGGCCAGGTCACTGAATATTTTTGAGTTAGAGGTGAACAAATTGTTGACAGGCAAGAGTTTCAAAGGTTAATCGGGGGGTAAATGGGAATGTGGAACTCAGAACACAAACAGATCAGCCATGATCTTATTATGTGCCACAAATGCCAGGCAAAGACCATCGCCAACGAGAGAATCTAGCCATCTCCCCTTGACATTCAATGGTAGTACAATCTCCGAAAGACCTACAATAACCACAGGTAGCATTGACCAGAAACTGAACTGGAACAACCACACAAATACTGTCACTAAAACAGCCGGTCAGATGCTAGGAATTCTGTCGGAATTCACTCACCTCCTGACTCTGCAAAGCCTCATTGACATCTACAAGGTAACATCAGGAGTTTGATGGAATACTCCCCACTTACCTGGGAAAGTGCAGCCTCAATAACATTTAAGAAGCTCGATACCATCCAGGCGAAAGCAGCCCCCTTGACTATCACCCCCTTCACCAACTCAAATCATCACTTCCTTTGCTACCAACTATCTACAAGATGCACTGCAGCAATTCAGCAAGGCTCCTCTAACGGTATGTTCCACACCAGTGGCCTCTACCACCAGAAGGACAAGGACTGTCGATGCATGGGAACACCACGACCTGCAAGACCGCCCCCCCAGGTCACACAGCATCCTGACTTGGAACTATTTTGCTGTGCCTGGCTGACTCAATATCTTAGAACACTCTCCCTAACAGCACTGTGGTTATCCCACAAACTACCGCAGTGGCTCAAGATAGCAGATCACCATCACCTTCACAAGGGCAAGTAAGGATGGGCAACAAACACAAACCAATGACATCCCCATCACATGAAGGAAGAATAAAACGAATTCTGTATCTTCTTTGATCACCACTGGGGATCAAGGTGCATTTTTTAAAACGAATTTCTTTCCACAAATTAAATTGGTGAGTGGCATTTATGATAGAAATTAGCTTGATGGGTTGAATATCCCTTCTTAATTTCTTGCTTCCTTGAGCACCCACATCTCCTAAATTTCTCTGCTACAGTACCATAAAGTTTTAAAGGTGTTGTGCAGCAGCTAATGTCCCCCTGAAAGAGGTACTGATTAGATTCTGTATACCATAGTAGATTAATTGGATGTTACATCATAGAATCAACTTCATTCAGTAAGACATTGCAAGTACTTCCCTCCACATAAGCTACTTGGGTCCAATCTTATTCTCTGGCTTGAAGTGAGTCACTATCTACTTATCTACTGCAACTCACCTTACACAATATAGGAACATTTTATAAAGTTGTGAATGTTACCACTTAGGACACCAATGATGTACTTGAAATGTAATCGTTAGTGTATAAGAACACATAGACATTAAGTTTCCATAAAAAGATGACAGGAGTGTCTAAAATATTTACCAAACCACAATAGAAATTGCTGGAGAAACTCAGCAGGTCTGGCAGCATCTGTGGAGAGAGAACAGAGTTAACGTTATGAAGTTCTGACAAGGGGTGGCTGGACTCGAAGTGTTAACTCTCTTTTTCCTCTCCACAGAAGCTGCCAGACTTGCTGAGTTTCTCCAGCAATTTCCGTTTTTGCTTGTTTCAGATCTGTGACATCCACAGTTCTTTGCTTTATTTAGAAGTATTTACCTCATTCTATCAAAGGCATACTCCTCTGAACTCATAGTAGGCATTCGAACATGGAGATCGGTAGGAAAGCCAAACACCTGTGATGAAAGTAAACATAAGAAGACGGGCATAAAAGGCTAATGAGACCATGATTGCACCCCTTCATGGGCTTGCCCTATTTATCTTATTGTGGACACATGAGAGAAAAAAAATGCTATAAAATTTCATCTTGACCCCAAAGTCAAATGACAACTATACAACACATCTTACTGAAGCAGACTTTGTTTCTTGCAAATGCCTTTGAACAAATTAATTAATTATTACATTTTTCACTGATTAATTCATTCAGCTCAATGTACCTTAACCAGCACCAGCCTGATTCTGATCAACAATTAGGTTGATGCTGGCTGATAAATCTGTAAAGTATTTTGTCAATACTCTCGATTACATGCAGAACTATGATTCTATTTGAGTCTGTCTGCATGCTGTTTGCTCACGCAGGGTGAACACTAAAACATTTTTGTGCTCATGATATTTGAAGTTTTTCTCTATTCCCGATGAAGAATATGCACCCATAACACTGTGTCAGCCTGGTTCTATTGGCAACATTCGTCAAGTTGGATTGAAGTCCTGGACCTCAGTACCTTAGGCAGACAAGTCAATGTGGGATGGAGGACCATCCATAGGTCCAATGTGGGATGGGGGATCATCCATAGGACCAATGTGAGATGGAGGGCCATCCACAGGACCAATGTGGGATGGAGGACCATCCATAGGTCCAATGTGGGATGGAGGACCATCCATAGGTCCAATGTGGGATAGAGGACCATCCGCAGGTACAATGTGGGATGGAGGGCCATCCATAGGTCCAATGTGGGATGGAGGGCCATCTGACCACTGCCAGAGAATGAAAATGAAGCTCCTGTTTGACAAATGTGGGCATTAAAGGTTTAGCGAAACAAATTGAAAAAATGCAGGTAGTTTGCTGGATATCTTGGTTAACATTCTTCCCATCACCAGGAGTTATTTAGCTACTTATTTGTTTCATTGATAGGTTTGAAGAACACTTCGAGCAAAACGCATGTTCGTTTTGCTTACATAGTGACTGAGTGACTGCAATTCAAAACAATTCAGCATGTGTGAAATGCCTCGTGATGTCTTGCGCAAAGCGATAAATGAAAGCTTTTCCTTCCCTAAGCAAAGGGCTATAACTTTGCCTCTCCATCAATTTTAACGTAAAGCAGGTGGAGGTATAAACCAGAAAACATCACCCAAGACTCACGGTTACTTTTCCACTTAAAATCAGCAAAATGTTAAATGTAAATCAACCACAACTGCAATCCCCTTCCCATTAGATAAACAGTATTTTCTCCACTAGCTTGGGTTTTCCGCTTGTGTGCCTGCCAACCTGTGATTATTCTCACACACATTTGATTAGAATGCAAAATCACAGGTTGGTGAGAGATGGAGCAGAAAACCTACTTGTTTAGCAATTCATATTTTAATTTGTATCCTGTTTGTGTCCTGGGGAGGAGCTGACCTCATATGTGCTGCCACAGCATTTATCCTGGTCCTTATCTTAATTCTGCGACAGTGCTAAGGCTAAATCACCAATGTGACTTACACATGGGAAAAATACAGGCTGTTGGGATCACCTGTGATTCTAAGAGGCATGCTATAAATTCAATTATTTCTGTATTGCTGTTGCAGAACAATTGTGTAACTTTTGAAATCAAGAATAATGGACAAAGTGGCAAATGCCATCAGCAAGATTGAGTATAAAAGACAATGTATGAAAGCAGGAATTTAATGTTTCAACCTCAGAACACTCCAATTTATTTTACAGCCGTTGAAGAACTTTTGAAACACAGTCCCTGTTATAATGTAGGAAACCAACATGGACCCAGCAAGCTCCCACACATAGCAAATGGGATATAAACAGATAATCTTTTAATAAAATCAAAACAGAAAATATTTAGAATACTCCGCTCTGGCAGCATTTGTGGAGAGAAACAGAATCAAAGGCCCTTCAGAACTGTCCTGATGAAGGTCATCAACTTGTGATAAGACCATAAGATAAAAGAGCAGAATTCAACCATTCAACCTTTTGGGTCCGCTCTGTCATTCAATCACGACTGAAATGTTTCTCAACCTCATTCTCCTGCCTTTTCCTCATAACCCTTGATCCCCTTACCAATCGAGAACCTACCTTTGTCTTAAATATGCTCAATGACTTGGCTTCCACAGTCCTTTGCAGCAATCAGTTCCACAAATTAACTAGCCTGTGGCTGAAGAAATTCCTCCTTATCTCAGTTATAAGGGTTGTCCCTTCACTTGGAGGCTGTGCCCTCAAGTGCGAGTCTCTCCTACTAAAGAAAACATCTCCTCCTTGTCCACTGTATCCAGACCTCTCAGTATTCTCTAAGTTTCAATCAGACTCCCCCTCGTCCTTCTAAATTCCATCAAGTCCGTTGGGCTTCCTCCAATGCCAACACATCCTTCCTTAGATAAAGGGCCTAAAACTGCTCACGATATTCCAAATACGGTCTGACCAGAGCCTTAAACAGCCTTAGCAGTACATCCCTGCTCTTACATTCTAGTCCTCTTAAAATGAATGCTAACATTGCATGTGATTTCCTAACCATCAAGTGAACCTACATGTTAACCTTAAGAGAATCCTGAAAACTAGGACTCCCAAGTCTATTCGTGCTTCAGATTGCCAAAGCCTTTCCTCATTCAGAAAATAGTCTATGCTTCTATTCTTCCTACAAAAGTGCATAACCTCACACCTTCCCAAATTGTATTCCATCTGCCACTTCTTTGCCAACTGGCCTAGTCTGTCCAAGTCATTCAGCAGCCTCCCTGCTTCCTCAACATTACCTGTCCCTCCACCTATCTTTGTGTCATCTGCAAACCTAGCAACATTGCCCTCAGTTCCTTCATCCAGATCGTTAATGTATAACATGAATAGTTGTGGTCCCAACACTGATCCCTGCGGAACTCACAAATCACTGGCTGACATCCCAAAAAGGGCCCCTTTATCCCTACTCTCTGCCTTCTGCCAGTCGGCCAACCCTCTATCCATGCCATACATTGCCCCAACACCACAAACTCTTATCTTATTTACCAGCCTCCTGTGCAGCACCTTGTCAAAGGCGTTTTGGAAATCCAAATAGATCATGTCCACTAGCTCCCCTTTTGGCTAACTTGCTTGTTACCTCCTCAAAGAGTTCGAACAGATTTGTCAGGAATGACCTCTCCTTGATGAAGCCATGCTGACTCGGCCCTATTTTACCATGCACTTCCAAGCACTCTGCAATCTCATCCTTAATAATGGACTCTACCAATGATCAAGGTCAAGTTAACTGGCCTACAGTTTCCTGTCTTTTGCCTCCCTCCCTTCTTAAATAGAGGTGTTACATTAGCCATTTCCAGTCTTCTGGGACCCTCCCCAACTCCAGTAATTCCTGAAAGATCACCACCAATGCCTCTACAATCTCCTCAGCTATCTCCTTCAAAACTCTGGGGTGTAGTCCATAGTCCATCCAGTCCCGTGATTTATCTGCCTTCAGACCTTTCAGCTTCCCCAGCACATTCTCCTTAGTGATGGCCACTACACTCACCTCTGTCCCTGACTCTTTTGAAGTTCTGGTATGTGGTTAGTGTCTTCCACTGTGAAGTCTGATGCAAAGCACGAATCCAGTTCCTCCGCCATTTCCTTTACTACTTCTCCTGCTCACTTTTCAGTGGTCCAATGTCCACTCTTACCTCTCTATTTTTAGGTACTTGCAATCTTCTTTAATATTACTTGCTGGCTTACGCGCATATTTAATCATCACCCCCGTTACTGCTTTTTTTAGTTATCCTCTGCTGGTTTTTAAAGGCTTCCCAATCATCTGGCGTCCCACTAACTTTCACCACACCGAATGCCTTTCCTTTTGCTTTTGTGCTGTTCCTGATTTCTCTTGTCAGCTATGGTTGCCTCACCCTCCCCTCAGTATGTTTCTTCTTCCTGGGGATGAATTTCTGCTGTTCCTCCTGAATTACCCCCAGAAATCCCTGCCATTGCTGCTGCACTGTCTTCCCTTCCAATCAACTCTGGCCAGCTCCTCCCTCATGTCATTTCAGTTACCTTTACTCAATTGTAATAATGTTATACCTGATTCGATCTTCTCCCTCTCAAAGTGTAGGGTGAATTCTACCATATTATGGTCACTGCCCCCCTAGGGGTTTCTTTGCCTTCAGCTCCCTAATCTAGTCTGCCTCATTACCCATCACCAAATCCAGAATTGCCTGTTCCCTAGTAGGCTCTACCACAAGTGCTCCAAAAAAGCAATCTCGATGACATTCCATTAAATCCTTTTCTTGAGATTTGTTACCAACCTGATTTCCCTAGTCTGCCTGCATAATGAAGTCTCCCATGATTATTGTAATTGTGCATTTCTTACATGCCTTTTGTATCTCCTAATTTAAGTTTCTACACATCCTGACTCCTGCTAGGAGGCCTGTCCACAACACCAATCAGGGTCCTTGGTTACAGGAAAAATATTAGCATGAACTCCAAAGAGAACAGAAGTTCAAGTGAATTATAAAACTATACTAAGGTATTAAAGTTTCACCAGATTATCACCAATGCATGGGTTCACATTCATCAGCTGTGCATGACCTTCTAAGTGGTAGATGTCGCTGGTTTGGAAGATGTTGCCAGAGCAGCCTTGGTGAGATACTGCAGTGCATTTTGTAGATGGGTTTCACTGTTGCTCCTGATAGTTGGTGGTGAAGGAAATGAATATTGGAGTGTTGGATGGGGTGTCAGTCTAGCAGCTTCTTTGTCAATCTTCTTAAAAATATTATAGAAGCTACACTCATCCAGGCAAGTGGATTGTTCCATTAAACTCCTGAAGTGTACCTTGTAGATCTCAGGAAGACTTTGAAGAGTCAGGAGGTGAGTGACTTCCCACAGAAATTGCAGCATCTGATTTGTTCTTGCAGCTATTGTATTTGTGTAGCTGTTCAAGTTCAGGTCAATGGTAAGGGTGGATATTCAGTGATATGTACAAATGATTAGGGATAAGATTCCCATTTGGTCATCTGATCTGCTATTTTCTAATGCAGTTTGAAGTCACTGTTTGGTTTATAATGCTCCTGCACAGCACCTTCAGATTTTTTAATGAATTACACATAAATTGTTGCTTTAGATAGATTCATGACTAACTTCATTCTTTTGCAAGACAACAAGGTGCAGGGCTGGATGAACACAGCAGGCCAAGCAGCATCATAGGAGCAGAAAGGCTGACGTTTCGGGCCTAGACCCTTCATCAGAAGAGGGGGAGGGGAAGGGGGTTCTGAAATAAATAGGGAGAGAGTGGGAGGCGGATAGAAGATGGATAGAGGAGAGGATAGGTGGAGAGGAAACAAACAGGTCGAAGAGGCGGGGATGGAGCCAGTAAAGGTGAGTGCAGGTGGGGAGTTAGGGAGGGGATAGGTCAGTCCAGGGAGGACGGACAGGTCAAGGGGGCGGGATGAGGTTAGTCAGTAGGAGATGGGGGTGCGGCTTGAGGTGGGAGGAGGGGATAGGTGGGAGGAAGAACAGGTTAGGGAGGCGGGGACGAGCTGGACTGGTTTTGGGATGCGGTAGGGGGAGGGGAGATTTTGAAACTTGTGAAATCCACATTGATACCATTGGGCTGCAGGGTTCCCAAGCGGAATATGAGTTGCTGTTCCTGCAACCTTCGGGTGGCATCGTTGTGGCACTGCAGGAGGCCCAGGATGGACATGTCGTCTGAGGAATGGGAGGGGGAGTTGAAATGGTTCGCGACTGGGAGGTGCAGTTGTTTATTGCGAACCGAGCATAGGTGTTCTGCAAAGCGGTCCCCGAGCCTCCGCTTGGTTTCCCCAATGTAGAGGAGGCCACACCAGGTACAGCGGATGCAGTATACCACATTGGCAGATGTGCAGGTAAACATCTGCTTGATGTGGAAAGTCTTCTTGGGGCCTGGGATGGGGGTGAGGGAGGAGGTATGGGGGCAGGTGTAGCACTTCCTGCGGTTGCAGGGAAAAGTGCCGGGTGTGGTGGGGCTGGAGGGGAGTGTGGAGCGGACAAGGGAGTCACGGAGAGAGTGGTCCCTCTGGAAAGCAGATAAGGGTGGAGAGGGAAAGATGTCTTTGGTGGTGGAGTTGGATTGCAGATGGCGGAAGTGTCGGAGGATGATGCGTTGGATCTGGAGGTTGGTGGGGTGGTACATGAGGACGAGGGGGATTCTTTTTTGGTTCTTATTGCGTGGAAGGGGTGTGAGGGATGAGTTGCGGGAAATGTGGGAGACACGGTTGAGGGCGTTCTCAACCACTGAGGGGGGGAAGTTATGGTCCTTGAAACATGAGGACAACTGAGATGTACGGGAGTGGAATGCCTCATCCTGGGAGCAGATGCGGCGGAGGCGAAGGAATTGGGAATAGGGGATAGCATTTTTGCAGGAAGGTGGGTGGGAGGAGGAATATTCTAGGTAGCTGTGGGAGTCGGTGGGCTTGAAATGAATATCGGTTTCTAGGTGGTTGCCCGATATGGAGACAGAGAGGTCCAGGAAGGGGAGAGAGGTATTAGAGATGGTCCAGGTAAACTTAAGGTTGGGGTGGAAGGTGTTGGTGAAGTGGATGACCTGGTCGAGCTCCTCGTGGGAGCACGAGGCGGCGCCGATACAGTCATCAATGTAACGGAGGAAGAGGTGCGGTTTAGGGCCGGTGTAGCTACGGAAGAGGGATTGTTCCACGTAACCTACAAAGAGGCAGGTGTAGCTTGGGCCCACCCTCTTTGTCTGTAGGAAGTGGGAGGAATTGAAAGAGAAGTTGTTGAGGGTGAGGATGAGTTCGGCTAAGCGGATGAGGGTGTCAGTGGAGGGGGACTGGTCGGGCCTGCGGGACAGGAAGAAGCGGAGGGCCTTTAGGCCATCTGCATGGGGAATGCAGGTGTAGAGGGACTGGACGTCCATGGTAAAGATGAGGTGTTGGGGACCGGGGAATTGGAAGTTCTGGAGGAGGTGGAGGGCGTGGGTGGTGTCACGGACATAGGTAGGGAGTTCCTGGACCAAGGGGGAGAAAATGGAGTCCAGATAGTTGGAGATCAGTTCGGTTGGGCAGGAGCAGGCGGAGACAATGGGTCGACCAGGGCATTCAGGTTTGTGGATTTTGGGAAGGAGATAGATCTTTTGCATATTTGTTGTACTGAATTCATTTGTAACATATTGTTATTTGTCTGTAACTGTGGCAAATAGTAATATCTGTAATGGTTAAAGCTGTTTTCTTGTTATACAAGATTATTAGATTGCTGTAAATGGTTGTGGCAAGAGCTGAGGTTCCCAGTCAGACCAGGAAAATTTGAGTTAATTGCAGCCTTACATGTGATGGTGTAATTGTTCCATATTATGAAATACATATGAAAGTATTTATACCAGTCAAGAAACAACTTGCATTTGTACTGCATCTTTAACATTGTGAAAACACCCCAAGGCACTTCACAGGAGTTTTATCAAAAAAAAACATTGACACCAAGCCACATAATGAGATATTAAGATAGGTGAAGAAAAATTTGGTTAAAGAGCTAAGTTTTAAGTAACATCTTAAAATAAAAGAGTGTAGAGTTGCAAAGAGTTTTACAGAAGGAATATCTGAGCTTAAAGCCTAAGTAGCTGACAACATGACTGTCAATGGTGGAGCGATTAAAATTAGAGATTTAGAATGACAAGCCTACAATTCAGGGAGAGCAGGTCTTTCAGACGTGGTCAGGTTGGAGGACACTACAGAGATCAAGAGGAGAGAGAGATATGAAAACACTATGAGAACTTTAAAACTGAGGCTTTGTTGTTCCAAAAGGCAAATAGGCGTAGTACGCACAGGATTGCTGGGTGAGCAGAAGTTTGTGCAAGTTGGGATACAGGTAACAGAATTTTGGATGAGCTCGTGTTATGCAGCATAAAAGATGACAGGTTAGCCTGGACATTCCTGTTCCTTTAGTTCTTTCCCAAACATGTCTATCTATCATGTGCAAAATCCTGCATACTATTCCAGCTTGTGTTCTCTATAGTTAAACAATTAATTGTCTGGAACCCATTTAGCACCTTCATTTTTTTTTGCCTTCATATTTGTACCGCATGCAGATATAATAACGTGGGCTTTTTTTTTGCACTCTACTATAATAAAAGCTCTGCCACTCCATCTGTAATTAACTTGCCATTTTGATACACCATCTTGCTTCAGTGCTAACATTTTTGTCCAAGGCTGCTGCAATGCTCCTGTGAAACCCAGTACAAGCTAGAGGAACAGGATCACATTTTCTACTTAGGCACTTTACAGCCCTTGGGACTCAACACTGAGTTTCAACAACTTCAGAGTATGAATTTTGTCCTCTATTTTGGCTTTGCCTGTCAGTTTGCACTTCATCATATTTTCTGTAATAATCCAAATGAAAACAAGCCATCCACAGAAAGGGAATGTGGAAACATCTGAAGGGCTGGGGTACACTAACAGTTTGCAATGAAAAGCTGTCATTATGATCCCACATTTTCCATGGAACAAAATGAAACCTGGATGGTAGCAAATCAGCAGATAGTTTTATACTCTGCTGGATTTTCTTTTCAGACAGGTGGTTCAATGGGTTTCAATTCACTGTTCTTTTAATATTACTGCCCAATGTGAATTTCACCTCTAACGATTTACTCATCACTAAGTAAGCAGACAATGTGGCACATTAAGATTAGACTATAATTAACAATGCTGCAAATGGTGATACATGTCATGGTCCATCTCAATACTACTTCATGGCACAATAGATTGATGAGAGATTGGTTCAACCCCTTCCACCCAACTGTATCAAGTTCTCAATCTGCATCATGCTGCTATGGGGGTGGATCATTGAGGATAGAAATGCAACTATCCATAGCCTTGCTCTACATATGTCATAACACCAATTAGGGCGGCATTGAGAGAACTGAGAGATGATCACCTCCCAGCTGTCCTCTCAGAGAAACCAACATTAAAAACAGGGAATTTCAAAGCAACTCATACTTGACTCAAAATATTAACTGTTTCTCCACAGATGTTGCCAGACCTTTAACCAACATTTGCTGTTTTGATTTAAAATACAGGGTGTTCATTCCATCATTAAGGAGACTAAACACTAACCGTTACGTCAGATAGTGCAATAGGTGTGAAATTGGCTGGTTTACCTCTTGAGAGCCTTCCTTGAAATTCTCTGTGAAAGTCGTGTCTGGAGTTCTTCTCTGTGACTGTGCAGTTGAGGCAAACTGGTCACCGTGAGGATTTCGATCGTGAATGACAGAGCGCTCAGGAGGCTCGCTGCAGTACGATGCCGGCAGCATTCCCACAGAAAAGTTATTAGGGTTCATTTCGGTTTTAATAGATTGCGTTGGTACTGTTGTGACAGAGACAGTGACAGTAGTGTCTGTGGTTGTAAACTGATTTACTTTATCGTGTCCTATGGAGTGGCCAGGCAACACCAGATTGACTGGCAACACTCTCAGTTGCTGCACTCGATTATCCGCAGTGGAAATGACTGGGTGATCTGTTGCAGATAGCATGCAATTCCTTAAAAAGAAAAGACGATCATTTCACACGTACTGCAATGCAACGGCAACATGGAAAGCCACTGAACTATTTATGTGGACTTCTCAACTTGGCCATTATTTTCCTCAAAACAAATTCTTCAAATATTGGGTAGATTTTAACTAAGAGGAAGGGCACAGTGATCACCTACACGGTTCGGCAGATAAGTGTGACCCCTAACACAGATTAACTTGAAAATATATTATGCAATCACAGTTTCCATCTTAAAATGAGCCTCTCACCTGAATCAAGCAGATGCTGTCTGTCTGGTACTTTTAAAATAGTGGCAAATCTAATGGTAGTGTTAGGTGACAGTATTGCTACTGACCCTCTGTAAAGTCCTGTCAATGTCAAGTAAGGCCATTCAAAATCAACCCCAAAATTCTAATTGTTTGTGCTTCCATTATTGCAATTAAAGGAAGAATCATGGAGAGAAAAGCTTCATTGATCCAAAGTTCAAAATGCAACAGAGTTATTCATTTCATCCAATGAGGCCAAAGATTTGTCAAAACATTGACGCATTCAAAAATTCACAAGAAAAGCAGAGAAAACCAGACATGCCGATAAAGTAAATGAGCGTATCAGATCTGACAGAGAGGAGACTTTCACAATGAGGCAGTCCCGCCCAGTACAGCCCAGTTCAGGAGGGGAGACAGTGACACTGTGAGGGAGTCCAGCCCAGTACAGG